AAAGTTTAAGGAAGAAGAAAGACTTGTACACTGAAAACTAAACAGTACTGAACAAAAAATTAAAGATGACACAAACAAATGGAAAGATATCCTATGTTCATGTATTGCAAGATTTAATATTGTTTAAACTTCCATTCTACCCCAAGTAATCTTACAAATTCAATGCAATCCCTATTAAAATTCTGTGGCATTTTTTACAGAAATAGAAAAAAGCAATTCTACAATTCATATAGAACTACAAAAACCCCACAAATGGCTAGATTAATCTTAATCTTAAGGAAAAAAAAAAAGACTGAAGCATCACACAGCTGACTTCAAAATACATTGCAAGGCTACAAGAATCAAAACAACACTTGTAAAGGTATGGATTTAATTGAGGAATTGGAGGTCCTTGAGAGTAAAGATGGTCTCATTCATGACTTCTCACTCTTTCAACAACTAAAAGAATGCTCATTTTACATGTAAGTAAACTTAAGTACAGGAAAGGAATAATATAAACTCAGTTAGTCACATTGCTTAAGAAGAGTCTATGCTGGCATATAAACTTTGAACAAATAAGACCTGAGCCTCCCTTAACTCTACATTGAAAGTCAGGAGGAAAGTAAGGTATGCGAGGTCTGTCCATCCTAGACATGCCCTGGCTAAACTCTCGTGCCCTTATGGGAGTCACCCACTGCAACGGGACAGACACCCCAGGCATGGACATGTAAGCAGAGCTGTCACCTGGGCCCCCTTCTCAGAATGGCCCCAGACTCGGTTTAATGTTCTTCTGTGGCCATCTTGAAATCCTTAATAATTTCATCTTTGGACACACATTTTGTAAATGAAGTCTGATGTGACCCTGGAGCATGCACATAAGCAGTGGAGATGTGCAGGGAAGCACCAGGTGTGGGCTTACCTGCCTAGGCCAGTGTGCACTGCAGACAGCAGACACCAGATACCTTGCAGGCCCAGCAGTTGGCCTGGCTTCCCTGCATGTGGGCCTGAGGTGGAGTGGGACATTGCAGGACCCTAAGTGGGTTGCTATTTCTGGGATCTGGGCCCAGATTGTCAGTGGTAACAGGAGTGGCAGCACTAAAAGCAGCAATGTTGTTGCCAGTGGCTGTGGCCTCAGGAGAGCAATGGCTGTGGCCTCAGGAGAGCAGTGCCTGCAGGCTTCCCTGTTCTTTTAAAGTCATGTCATATCATGTCATGTCATGATTAAATAATGTCACTGTTGCCTCATTACATTCTATGAGTAATAAAATATTTTTAAAGAATACAATTTTTCATGTTTAACTGTATTCCTTTTCCTGTTTTCTGAACAAGAGGCTCCCACTTCCATTTTTTTCATGGGCCTCACAAATGATGTAGCCAGTCCTGAAGACAGGACTTGAGAGAAGGCAGAATATTTTAAATATAAAAAATGCAGACCGAGCAGCAAGGGATTCAGATGGTAACATGAAAATCCAGAGTGATTTGGCACAGGTTGGATGGAAATTAGGGGGGAGAAATAAGAATAAGGTGAGTGTGAGAAAAGAAGGCTGGTTCTATAAAATGGCTATTGACATAATTTTAGCAGTACTGATAGAGAAAGAAACAGTCTTCAGAACTGCAGCCTCAGGAGACAGAAATGAAATAAAAGGAGATCATGAGTGTCAAAAATAGTCTATTGTGTGACTCAGGATGCTGAAAAATAAAATTTTTGAATTGATGGCAGTGAGATGAATGACACCTAGAAGATGGGAAAAATGAATTGCCAATAGCAAGAGATACTGTCAATAAGAGAAACATGGAAAAGGAAGAAAGAATATCTTTAAAATCTGTATTGTTGGTTAGTTAAAAAGATGAAGTGATAAGGAAAAAATAAAAAAGGAACTACTATTTATTTCATGGCCAATATTTGAATATGAGGCAACTCAGTAGATCTCCAAGGAGAGATGGATACAAATATAGATATTGATATACACATAGGCATGCACACACATATATAGATATATAATTAAAGGTTAAATGACTAAAGATATGCTTAAATGATAGATTTTATGTGTAAATTTATATAGTTTAAATATATTCCCTATATATGGATAAATCTCTACAAGTCTCTCTCTCCATAAAATCTATAAAATTAAGATTAATAAATTGCTCAAGCTGACACACAGAATTTGGACTTGAACTCAGGATTTTCTGGCTCAGAATCCTGTGGGTTTTCTCCTCTACTCTGGTGCTCTGCTGGCAATCGATCTTTTAAATCTGCTCTAGGAACTCTGCAATTTGACAATACTGTTTTGGACAAATGGTTGACTATGTTGAAAAGTTTAAAGAAAGACAAGGTATTAATTACCAACTAATTTATCTAAATTAACCCTAATCTGAAATATCTTTTAAAAACATGAGAAAGAAGACCACTTCAGTTCAAAACTGAAAAAGCTAAACCAAGACAACAGTGGTTGTACCACCAAGCAAAAGAAAGGAGAGAGAGAAACAAATGAATGGGCAACAAAAAGAAAGGTTCATTGAAAAAGATGAGAGAAAGACAAAACCAGTACTGAGGATGGGGAGCGCCACAGTTTAGATGAAAAGGTGTAGGCTTGAGACACACTCGCTAACATTTTGTAAATATAATTGCACTTCCTGCCCTCTCTTCCAGGCTAAATTTCTTGAAAAGGTGGCTACACAGTCTATCTTCCCTTCCCTTTCAAAAAAAATATGATTCATTTTCCAATGCATCCATCTTTGGTTTTGTCCACAAAAATCTACTGAAATAGCTCCTATCAAAGTTTCCAACAATTTTTACATTGTCAAATTCAATGGTCAATATTTTGCCCTCTTCCTTTCTGTCATAGCAGTGTTTGACAAAGCTGTCTATCCTTTGTTCAAGCAACATTCTCCTTTCCCACCTTCTGTGATGCCACATCTCCATTTGTCACCTACTATTTATTCTCAACTCTCTTTCCCTACCCAGTTTTAAAACGTTGATGTAATTTCTCAGAACGTTGCTTTGGAATCTCTTCTCGTCTTTATTCTCTTTCCAGAATAGATTCTATCCATTCCTGTATCATTACACATACCTATATGGCAATGATATATAATGTAATTGCTTCACAGCATTCATCATGTTTTGTCATGTATTTATTTATTCTTGAATTTTATCTTTGTTGTTGTTGTTGGGGAGAGGTAATTAGGTGTATTTATTTAATTTTTTTAAAATGGAGGTTCGGGGATTGAACCTTGTGCATGCTGGGCAAGTACTCTACCACTGAGCTATACCCTCTCCCCAAAGGGATTTGTTTTTGAATTTTATCTGTATTTTTTATATTTATTATTATTAGTCATTTTTTTCTCCATCAAAATGTCAGCTCCAACAATCATATGACTTTGTAAATTTGGTCACTAAAAGGTTAAGAAAAAGGCTCAAGTTCTCAAAATTAGTGAGTGACAGACCCCAAAATGGATCACAGATCTTCCTATTTCCAGAGTTGTGGCTGTATGTGACTCTGTCTCTCATAAAATAAAAGTTTGAAGGGATTTCTAAGTCTGACCAAAATGGGATAGCTTGAAGTAGACCAACACTTCTGCCAAGAAAAATTTAAAAATCCAGATATAATGCAAAGTAAACAGCTATTGAAGGCATTGAAGAGATACCAACACAGCTAGGAATTAAGTGGCAGAAACCCCTGAGAGAAGTAAACCACATAAAATAAGCTCAACACTTGGTGGTTTTCCCTCCAAGTATTTGCCAACATCAATAATAGAAAAAAAAAAAAGCTGAATAGACTGAAACATCAACAACTTTTCTTGGATCCATACAAGAGGGAAAGACACAGGGCAAACCACTGCTCCTAGGATTGGAGAGACACACAGGCGAATACAGAGTCACAGCTTACCAAACTGTGACTCACAAAAGGCAACTGCCTTGGGAACCAGGGGTGGGGCAGG